CATCTGCCAAGAACGTATATGAACAGGTCCCAGTCCGAGAAAAGGATGGAAGGATCCTGTTCATATGGACCTGTCGTCAGAAGAAGAAGAAGAAGAAGAAAAGTAACCACAAAAAATTAACTAAGTTAACATATTTTTGATTCATCACCCCGATATGGAGGCAGAAAAGACCTCTGAAACATTGGTAACTTTCTACTAGACTACACGATGCTACAAGGCAGAAGACAGACATCTTCTATGAAGGTGATGGTTTTCTGACAATTACCTTGCTGTGTATAATTTAATAGCCTTATAATAAGATGTTCACTGAGCTTACTGGTAGATTACTATGTATTATGCATAACTGCAGTAAGAAAATTATCACTTACTCTAGTGATATACATAATATACTCAGACAGACATACAGTGATAAGGTTTTCTCTCCAAACTGTTTACAAAGAATAACTTCCAAACATGTTTGTTAGGATCTCACAGCAGCAAGTATGAAGATTGCAGTCTTCTGTGTTTTTGTGCTCTGCAGTCTGGTGTTTATTTCTTTGTACACAATTTGGAGAGAAAACCTTGCAACTGATCATTGAGGCATCAAGCACCTCTGAAACAATGATAAACTTCCACCAGCCTAAATGGCAGAACAACCCAGACAACAGCTATCCTCATAAAGAAGTATTTGATTCTTAGCCACCAACTTCCAGCCTCTCTAGATTCCACTATTTATAGAAGAGTTTCCCAAATTTGTAATACAAAACCCTTAGTCATGAATAATGTTCGCAATATAATACCATACCATAAGATTTACAGATATGCAAAGAACAAAGAAAAGCTAGAATTTTATACATTACAGAAAAATGAAGTGTTGCTGAAAGGAGTGGGCAATGAAGTGGATGTCAGGGGTGGTTCCACATATGAATGCTGCTGATTTGGCGAAGTTATGGACTGGAGTTCAAGGAGAATCTTAATTCAGATTTATTGAGTAAGAAATCTGGGACAATATCCATAGATAGAACAATGTCAAGATTGCTGGATCTACAGCAGAGATAAATTGGATATCAAATAACAAGTCAAACCACTTGAGTCAATGTATTTCATGTATTTCACTAAGTGTACAAATTGTGTGGTCAGAACAGGAAGACTAGTATACAATTACCAAAAAAATAGCAAAAATACATATTTTGTTAATAATGCAGTCCGTAGAAATCTTCACAGCCTCCTCCACCACAACTTTTGAGCAGTTATACTTACAAATGAAAAAGTGTCTCAAGGTTTAAAGGAAAATTTAGAACAAGCTATGTGAGTGAGGTGACAATGACTGTTAGTGTTTATATAAGTCATTCAAAAATCATGTTCCATGGAACCCTGGATATTCATTAAGGAGTTTTTGGAGGTCTGTAGATTACCAAAAGTAATTTCTTGTTCTGGTATAGAGTACAATTAGAATTTTTCATAATCAATAGTGTTCCAATATTCATGAAATTTTGGAAACACTGCTTTACAAGTACAGAATTTTCACTATCTAGACATGGGGTGCTTATTTCTAGTAGGTAGACAGACATTTTAAAGGTCCAACTGTGATCAACAAACTGAGATTTACAATTGTCAACCTGGAGAATGATATAAATGACTGTATTGGTATCAGCAAACAACTTGGTATGTGGGTGATGTTACAGTTCTATGAAATTCTACAAGTAACCGAAAATGCATGTGACCATGGACTCACCTGCACGACTTAAACCACTATCCAGAACTGAAACCTGAGACATGTTTTCAGCAAGTCAGTTAGCCCCCCATAACAGTCAGTCACATGCCATGTGGAAAACTAGCCCACAGTCATAGCAGCTCAACTAATTAACTGTTCTACAGTCTTGCAATTCCTAGTAGATCCAGGAATCTATTCTGTAAAGATATTATCTAACCTACCACAAAACTGATATCAATGTTGAATATCCATCTTGTGTAATTTATTTGTAACATTCCTATCATGTAAAATTAATATACGAATAGACTGTGTCCATCTAACAGCCAAGACACATTCTTCAATCAGATTCATGGCTGATAAAATTATAAATCTCTGGGAAATAACTGTTGCAGATTATCATCATATCCTGAAACAAAATAAAAAAACAAACAAATTTTACTTCTACAAAAATCATGTCACATAGCACATAGTTAAAGTGTAAAGATGGAATATGCTAATGTTTGAAGTACTCTTCTAAACTGGATTGTTATTGGTAAAAAAAATGGAGAGGTGTACTTCAGATGCATTCTTTGCTATTATGCATTTCATATTAACCTAAAGGTGGATTTACTGCAGATATGAATCTACTGTTGAAAAGCTAATCACTACAGATATCACATTGTGCAAAGCCTTGTAAACTATAATTAAACATATGCATGTGGTTCCATTTCACACTGTGAACTATAATATTGACACAAGTATCATAAGCCAATGCAATCACAACAAAAACACCAAGTATGATGAATTATCCACCTACTGTCAATTAAACAGGCCTGAATGGGATACAATTATACACATAAAATGAAAACTCGGATATGTCTTTAAATTGCATAAGTTAAAGAGTGAAATCCTGAAGATGATCTGAGTAGGATACAGTTAAAATTCATGTTACATGTTTGGGGGGGGGGGGGGGGGGGGAGGCGGGGAATGTTAGATGTATGGACTGTTAAAAATGGCTGTCTCAGGAATGCTACATTTGGCAACATCACAAATAAATGACTGGCTAACATGCAGTAAACATTTATGGGCACTGTGAAATATGTTCCTATGTACAGAAAGGAGTTTTAATCTCTGAAATTATTTAAACATACTATTATAGCATGTTTATGTTACGAATCTTAACGGGCAACATGATGATATTCATAGCTTATACTTCAAGAGGTTGGCATAATACAGACTGCTGTTCATACATTATTTTATACATATTACAAATTATGTAGATAAAGCACTGACAGAAACATAATGTGATGCTACAACATAAGAGAGAGAAGTTATGTAAGATTTGAGGTTTTCACAGAGGTGAGTATGAAGATTTCTGTCTTCTGGGTTGTTGCGCTGTGTGGTCTGGTCGATGTTTGCCAACATTTCTGAGGTCATACTGTATGACCATCGACCAGACCACACACAGCGCAACAACCCAGAAGACAGAAATCTTCAGAGAGAAGTTACTCTACCTGAATCTGCAATACACTTCAATTATTCAGACTTTAAAATCAAAACTCAGACAGCATTACTTTCAGCACAGACTTACATCTTGATCAAATGCTGCACCCTGAAGAGCGTGACAATCCTTTTGCATTAGATATATATATGGAAGGAAGGCAAAGTGGTTTTTCAAGGCTAATGCTTCATTTGGTACAGTGTAGAAGAAAAATGACTGGATATGAGATTCGGTCATGCCTCTGAATATGTAGCCTTTTTCCTTTTCATCAAAACACTGCAACATTAAAGACATCAGTATCATTAAAAGACTCACTATTATGTACTGTACTTTCTGCGGATACAAGGTAACATGCTGTTATCCAAAGGGGTTGGCAAACAGGTTAGTTGACTTAACTTGACTAGTTGAGATGAACCAGATTAAGATGTTAAGTGACAATAAATATACAAAATTCTTTGGGAACTGAAATTAAGTTCTAGCTTGCAAGACTTTAAGCAGATGGTTTTAATGTGTGTGTAGTTGTTTCTCAAAATATACAGTGATTATTTCCTTAAAAGCATTAACCAATCGATCTTTGTAATGAGAAAATGCTGTGCTTTCTCTGAGATAGGAATTACATTTTTATGGATTAATTAGATGAACTTCATGCTTAACAGAGTTAACGATACAGTGGTAACAGATATCTACCTTCAACATCATTAAAAATAAAGACATCAGATAAATGGCTAGTGTTCTGGGATTTGAACAGGTTGCAGTGAAATGAGAAAGAATTTGTGCCTAAAAGTCATGGACAAACAATAAAGAAAATTGTAGTGTCCACAAGTGCAAACAATATACATTCACACAAACATTCTTCATGCAATGAACAAAGAATGTCTATAAAATCATTTACACAGTTGATATATGAACTGGGATAGCTCAGTTAGTACAGTGACTAGCTACAGGCTTAATGACTGGGGTACAATCCCCAACAGGGGCAGAGGAATTTTCCTCTAGCCTCTGCATCCAGACCAGCTCTGAGGCCCACCCAGCCTCCTATCCAGTGGGTAATGAGGTCCTTTCCCAGGGGTAAAGTGCAACTGGAGTATGATGCTGACCACTCACCACCATCTAGTGCCAAGGTCAAGATAGAGTAGAAGCTATACCTCCACTCCCCTCAAATGATCTACATGGCGTGTAGTGGGATGGATTTACTTTACACAGTTGAAGTAAATTTAATTAAACAATATTTAATAAAGTATACACATAACATGAACATTTATGTGCAGATTTTGTACTTTCTACTTCTGTTGATGTACTGAAATCCAGTTACACTCATTTTAATTATATTAGTCAACCTGCAGCTATTAAAATCAATAGATTCTGCAATGATGTCTCTTAAGTACAGAAAGAACTGCACTATCCTATTGTTGCTATCTTCAGTCAAAATAAACTGCTTACATTCTGGTTCCACAGGCAGCTCAAGAAATCTGCTATGTATGATTGCTGCAGACTGACTTCCTTCATGAACTTTGTTCTAAGACCCAGTGCCCTAAGTCTTGGATATTGGATCATATCATACTTCAGTAGCAAATCACATACTCTTGCCAGAAAGCAAACATTTCTTGAGAACAGACAGTTGTACACAACAGCTGGGGGCATCATGGTCCATACAGGAAGTTTATTTTCCTCTTCTAAGTGTGTGACCTGTGAAATTATTTTATTAATAACATGATAAAAAATCATTTTATACAAAAAATCAGGAAGACAATGAAAAGAGTCTGACACTTGTCAGATGTCATTAATAAATTTTTATAAACACTGCCAAAATGTGGCTTGTATGTCAAATTAAATATGTAAACAAATACAACGTTATCATAGGAATATTTTCTTTGGAGAATGAACACTGTCTCAATCAAAGGTGAGCCATTATTCCTGGTCATTCGCTGGATGGTACTATTTCAAAGTGAACTTGTGGTCTTACGCCCCCCCCCCACACACACACACACACATACACAAAAGTGCTTAAGAAACTGTCAATTACAATTTTGTTATTCTGGGTTTTGCTGCTGTGTAGACTTGCAGTAAACTGTAAAGAACATAAAATCTCACACACCTACCAATTACTCCTATGAACTCAAAATATCTTCCAAATATACCAACAGCACAACAATGACAATAATAACAGTTCATTCAGATATGATATTAAAAGATATGATTGACAATCTAGCATGAGTGCAGAATTCTTATGGGCATGTCCATGCCTGTGTGTCTATCTATCTATCTATCTATCTGGCATGTTTTCCCTTGGAATGACACATGCCTGAATGGACCTCATGTCACTGCGGGAGCATGCTGTTACAAAAATGTGAACTGAGGTCATCCTTGGAAACCACTGACCTTGGATACTATTGTTAAATTTGTCTCTAACTTGGTTGACTTATATGTAATGAATTCCACACCCATAAATGTAAAACAGGAAAATATTCATTAGTTGTCAAAGTATGCCAAAGGGTTAAATACAACTGCCCTATTACATAATTTCCTATACAGGCTGACTATCATCTGAATTATATGAAATGTTTCCATTAAAATGATATAGTTTAAAATTTCTATAAATTACTTTATGAAGTACAAGTATTCTTTTAACCTAAACTGTTAGATTTCTGTATCAGGAAGACCCATATACTTTAATGTTCTTACCATTTCGAAGAACCTTAAAGCTTCATGTAGAAGCATGTAATCTCCTTGTTCCACAATCAGTCCACATACACACAGGTCAATTATAAACTTTATTATATTCTCCACTGTCTCAATTTCATTCCATTCATCTCCGATTTCCAAGAACAAGCCAGAGATTTCCCTATGTTTCCGGAACAAGAAGACTGAAACCTGCGAAACAAACATTATATTGTCCATATAGGAAATGGAAAAATTATAAGAAAATTAAACAAAATCTTTATTATAATATATACAAAATAAATGGAAACATTTAAAGATTGGAGCTCCTATTTATGGCTGTAACTGTGCACTGTTCTATATGCTTACAATTGGACAATACCATTGTTCTCTCAGATTATCAATAAAATGCATATTTCAACAAACTCAAAATATCATTACTGTGTTCACAACAACCTGCCACTGGACCCTATCCTGAGCCACCTGAATCCAGTCTACCGCAAAATATTCAACAGTCTATCAGTCTATCTTTTATTAACCAACAAATGGTTGCTACATATTTCAGATCCTTTCCAGCAGAATGTAAGTACATTTTACTCTCTTGCCCCCAAGTCCAGTTTACCACACTTATATACAGTGAAATAATATTCACTAGCAATAAAACACTTACCAGATTCTGAACAAATTTATTAAGCATGGCAACAATTGAACATTTCACTTCAATGCTGGAACTCATAAATAAATTACGGACGTTATCAAGGATCAAGTCATGAAGCTCTGCAACAAAGCACAAAACAAAGTGTTCAATTATATGGAACAGAAAATCACAAAGGTATGGCTTGATTATTAGTAGGTAGGATGCCACATTCTCCAGCTGACAGTAATATTTTATTAGTTTTCAATATTATATAGCTGAATTTATTATTTCTTTATGTGTGTGTTACAATATTTAACAGTGTACTGATATCAGATCACATATCAGGAATCCAGAAATATGGAATCTGACGACCATACATTTTTTAATTGTTGCTTTCTTTCAAAATCCAATGTTCGTAATACTGAAGATGAGGATCTTTGTCACAATTTCCCAGATCAATGCTACATGGTTGCCTTCACTGACTGATTCCTTTCTTTGTTTTATCAGCAAACTGCATCTTAACTGACAATTAATTTAAGAATTTTACACTTAAAAATGTTAAAAAGGCTGCAGTGAGTTCTCAAGGTAGTGGATACACAAAGAAGTATTTTTAACTTAATATGACACAGAAAATTGAGTTACTGATAAGATTCAATAGGGTACACAGCAGACATGTTAAATGATGAGTGTATACCGAGAGAGTTGACAATCTATATAATAATCATTACATTATCATGGACCAGGCAAAGCTGTTTTATATAAGAAGATAGTCCTCACAATGCACTAAACTATTTATCTGCAAGGTAAAACATGTTAAGAAACACTGTGATGGAAGACAGAAATCTTCATACTCACTGATGTGAAAAGCTCAAATCATACACTGTGATGGAAGTTTCCTAAAAGTGCCAAGAAAACTTCAACCAATCACAAAGAAGAATCAACACCAGACTAAATATTTAATATTCAATGTAGATGAGACATTATTTTGAAGGTAAATTTGCAGGAAAAAACATATAGTATGGAGAGTTGAAAGGCATGGCTTAGTGTACTACATAAAGTATGAGTAAATGATGGCATAATTTGTGGGCCCCCTTTTAGACAATTAAGATAACCAGCCCAAATTGCAATGGTTTTCATGTTTTTCATATTATGGATTGATATAAAAACATTTTTAAGTTACTCACCTAAATATGAGCTGAAAGTGACCCACTGCAGCAAATGGAATATCATCTCTTGAAAATCCTCACCATCCCACCTGGTCAGATACTCAGCCAAAAATCGAGAAACTACTGGAATACCCTGCTGCATATATTCTTCTAACATCACAATTTGCTTCAAGAGTTTCTCCTTCTCATTGTATGAAAAATCTTGATCCAGTTCAATGAATGCTTTGGGGGAAAAAACAATTTAACTGATTCAGTGTTGTCTCAGTATGATAAAAGAAAATAAGATACTGAATAAAATTGCATTATCTGATTACTTGTAAAATGTTGCACTAACCAATCTAGTACACTATCAGATTTTATGTAAAGTTAATTATTCATGTACTATTTGTAAAGTGTTACACTAACTACTCTTATGCACTATTTATTTGTAAAATGTTATATATTAACTATTCACATAGATTTATGTCGATCCCTAAAAGTGAAAGCAATAGAAGACGGGGAGAACAGTCTAATAAGTGAGAGTATAAGGGACTGAATATGATGACTTGTCTATAGAATAGGTGTGTGTCCATATACTCAACCCCACACAAAAAGTATTAATTTCTCTCAAAGCCAAATACTTTTAAGAGTACTATATCACGTACCTCAGAATATCACAGCAATGAATCAAGTACCAGTCAAGTTAGGGAATTTAACTAGCTGAGTGACTATAAACAGTTCAAGAAGAACCATGTTCTAGAGTTACTATGGTTCACAAGAGATCACCACTGATCCTGAACGTAACAGATAAATCCAGTTCACACCAACACTCCCTATTTAATGAAAATCATCCCCCATCTACACCTACCTCTCCCCAAGTGATCTGTTCCCTTTAGGCTTTCAAACCACAAATGTGAATTTTGTATTTCATATATCTGCTATGCATAATTTGGTAAAAAATTCATATTTACTTTCTGGCATTCATTGCAATTAATCAGTTGATTATAACGTAGTAGGGAACTTGAAGACAGTTACAGTGTTTGGATTATTACTTATGCCCAACCCACTAATCTAATCTAATCAAGTGTAGAAGAAAGACTACATTCAAAGGAAGCCAGATCTTACCTCTGTACAGTGTGTAGTATAGATTAAAGGAGAGTCTACTTTGTAAACTTCTGTCTGCAAAGGCAAGGACATGAATGTCTGCAATATTCTGTAGAAAGCTCATTCAGTTGCATGGGACATCCAGGCTTAACTGATGTAAACTCAATGATTTCAGGCTAGTGAAATATAAAACAAGAATAATACAACAGACATATGCAGCAAAACATGAACTGTATTTATTTAACTTGTGAAATGGAAAGTAAAAATGAATGAGAGACTAAAATGAAATAGGGGAAGATAAATGGACAGACATACAGACATAAGTGAAAGTACAGAAATCACTATTTATAGTATACCATGTTGGAATTTATAATACTTGATATTTACTCTTATGTGCAGATATATTATAATTCAATTCACTATTACATGTGTTCAGCATTTTAAAAATTGAAGTTTAAAGGATAGAAACCAAGTTCCTTTACAAGAGAACCTAGGAAATTCTTTGAAAAGTTGACTGTATACTCGGCTTGTCAAAGAATAGCCCACTTCCTTTATGGAAGTTAAAGGTTTATCATCATGCTCACAAAAGTCCACTACTGGACTCTATCCTGAGCTAGCTGCATCCAGTTCACTCCATCTATTTCCCTAAGGTCCACATTAACTCAGTTGACAAACAAAAACAGCCAAAATTAAACCCATTAAACAGTGTGAGATCAAAAGACATCCAATGTTTTTGATACAAAAGCCTATCAATATTAAATGCCAAGTTAACAGAAAGAATTTCTGACCTGAAACCATCTATCTTACAAAATGTCTACATTAAGAAAGGAAAAATTTACCATACATTATGGCCCAAAGACTTCAGTCCTCAAACAAGACTTTTGAATGCTGGGCTTCATGCACTCTTTTCTTATGTTCATGTAACATAATGCACACAAGCTGAGAAGTGGTCCAGTACTTACGTTTTAAATTCCAAAATGGAATACTTTTTCTTCTCTCTATATAGTTGAGTTCCAAAATGAACATAGTCAAGAGGCGGGATAGCATCCACTTTTGTTTTTGTCCTTGTCTGAAACACACAAAACAGGATTACCAGAGTAAGGAAACTCTCTTAATCTACATTAACATGACAGAGTAGAGTCTTTCTAGAGAAGCTAATAGCTGCTCAGCTAGACAAGAAATTTGCCTTTTATGGAATCTGCAGGTTCATCACCATGTTCACAAAGTGTTAGCAAGTACACATGGAGTGGGATGGGGGAAATATTAGCAATAAAGTACCTTCACTTACCCTCTTCATTCCCAGGTCAATATTCCATGCTACCATTTTAGCATGTCCCTCTTCGCCACTCCCTGCATCCAATCTTGACTTCGCTTGTTGAAAAAACTGATTCATTTTCCCAACAGCCTTAAATGCAATTTGTAGATTAACAGCTGGAACTCTCTCAGGTACACATTCTGGTTTGTACGACTTGAATAAGCTGCGGAAAGGTAATTACAGGTCATATTTGTGTCTAAATATAATTAAGCATTTTTTTAATCCACAGGAATGACAGCACACAATACACCTAAACATACAAGGCAACAAATACACTACATATATTAGACATATTTTTAAAGAATGTACTGGCTACCAATCAGCTTCCTCATTTCCATCTAGATGTCCATCTATTCACCTTTAGAAACTATTTTCTGGATGTAAAACTACGATGAACCTGACATCAAGAATCTTCAATAAATTTATAAAAAAATTAAAATTACTGCCTAAAAGAACAAGAACTACCAGTTTACAGCAAAGCCTAAATACTTTTTTAGATATATTTTACCCTTTGTGGACCTCTAACTGCTTTAACATATGTTCTCTCAGTAGCAAATGAAGGATTCAAACATTATTAAATATTGACCCATGAACCAACAGCACCAGGGGCTAAATGTTGGGACACACTCAATCCAGGAGTTATAAATACTGACAGCCTATGTCA